AGAGAGAGAGAGAGAAAAGCTCGTCACGTGTTCACGGATATCGACTTCGTTGTCTTTTTTGAGAAAATCGCGCCTACGATCCAATTTCACAAATCTACAACTTATCACGGAAACACGTTGCATGTCAGCTCCCGAAATAGTAGTGATCTTAGAATATTATCTGCGGTTGCAGGAAATGGCTTATCAATCTCTATGACATATAATCCTTAGGAATTAGGATTTTCCCATTCTATTTCGGAATTTTTTCTTATATTCAATCACTTGGGATTTTGTGCTAATGAAGCTTACGATAATTAATCCCTTGCAGTTATATGTAAGGAGAACTCAGACAGTCGATATAACAAAATAGCTTTCTAATAATAAAATCTGTTTTCTGTTTAATCTTAATATTCCCACACAAACGTTATAAAATAATTAATTACTTAATCAAGTTGTATTTTAATTGTTTCAAAGTCGTTAGGCAACTTCGAATATTAGATTCGCGGAATGCAGTCAAAACAAACACTTAAAACAATGCAATTTATCGGATTTTCATCGATTTAACCGTAATTTTTAAAAAGGTGACCTCGTGACCGAATTTCGTCGAAAGTTCATTAGCTATCGAGAACGAGTAAGATAACGCGAAGAGGAATTCTTCTTTAGCAAACGTCGCAAGCGGAATGCACATTAAGCCGACGACGAATGCATACATGAGGTGCAAGAAGAGTCACTCAACGACGTCGCTGACAGCCTCCGTGCTGTTTTGGTATTCGTATTGCCGAGACGATGTTAGTTCCATCGAGGAGGAAGATAATCCTCGCGCGCAAAGTAAGAAATATTTTAATTCTCTTCGGTTAAAAATAGAAACGTATAATAGAAACGTCAAAGCATATACAAAAATCTGAATCTAAAAATTTTAAATAACGATTTTAAATAACGATGCTACCTGATCTTTTATTCAGTTGATTTTAAAATTATAGCATATTATTTATGCATCTTTATTTTTATTAATTAATTAATTATCATCAATATGGGTAACGAGAAAAATATTTTCAGAACTCTTCCTTAATAATTTAATAAGAAATATAAAACATGTTTTATTAAAAATTTAATATTCAAATAATTTGTATTCAAATCATTTTACTTTAATTATGAAATTTATAAATTTTGTAATTATATATAAAAACTATCTCGATAAAACTTTGATAGTAATTTATATGTTACTGATATGTAAATTGGAAAATGTTTAATTCTCAGTCGTATCTTCTCTTCTATTTCAAACAATAATAATCGCATTGACATGACTGGACAAACTTTTATCCGTTAAGAAGAATATATTTAGCTGTATCAAATCAAACGAATGGTAATGATAATGACAAGAAGTGCAAGGAGGTCAGAAAGAAAGGTAAGTCTCGAGATTTGCCTCTCTTACGGTGCTCAAGTGCCGACACTCGTGTCAAGCTTTATGTCATGGAGAACGCATAAAGATACCCCAAGTATCGCATGTTCAAGACAGTTCCGCTGATAAAAATGCTCTAGTTTCAAGTGAAAGGGCTAAGTCTAATATGTTTTTTATAAATTTTATTCTATATCTTAGATAGGACTATCTGTCAAAACTAAATTAAGCGTTTGCCAACGAATATGAAAGAGTCCAAATTTCACAACAAAAATTTACAGCAGAAATTTGACAAGAGTGCTGTCGGCAGAATGTTGACGAAAAATATAGTAAACCTTCTCGACAGAAAATAACGATTTAACTCAATTAAATAAGAAAGATTCAACTCAACAATTTCATAATAAATTTGCAGTGATATTCTTCAGCAAATCATATCTCGTGCTTATGAATTTTTCATTTATTTCTATCATTTCACTGCAATTTCTGCTTGAATTCGCCAATAACTCTGCTAACAGTTTGTTCGTACATTAAAATATTCGTAATACAATGAGACTCAAATAGCTAAACTGTGTACATGCGTGCAAGCACAATTCTCGTTTCATGACGCATAGGAGAATTTTTAAAATAGCATTGCTCCCAAAAATCTGGATAACTGCATTATCTCGTAGAGCAACGCGAGCAAAAGTAGGAAGGAAAGAGAAAGAGAGAGAGAGAGAGAAGGAGGTAAGAAGTGGACGAGGGATACAGTAGAGAGGAGGCATCCTATAGGAAGGGATTCACTTTAAAATAATAAACTGGTCGACGATGCGGGGAAATTAGAACCAGAACCTACTAGCGATCTACTGCCGCGCGGATCTTAAGATTAAAAAAAATGTTTTAAACAGAAAAGATTGCACCGCAACAATAAACATCTTCAAGTCCGATTCGAATCGTGTAATTAGTAATTGACTAAAATAATTCGTGTCTATGTAACTGAGTGAAGCAAAGGGAAAATAGATCCAAAACAGAAGAACACGATTACTTAGTTAATAAAAATAATTAATTACTAAATAAAGATGTATGAATTTTTCCAATTGGATAATTATTTGATTATTTTTAATCATATAAACATGAATAAGATGCGCTTTGAAAGCACCTTTCTTAGTGAATTGTTAGTTATAATAATTAAATATGAAAACTAATGTTAAGATAGAAATATTATTTCTTGAATAAAAATTGTTATAATTAATATGAAAAATTAAAAGAAATTAAGAAAATCTCTGACTTAAAGATCAATGAGGAGAGAACCAGTCTTGAATTTGTATTATTGGTTGATTCGTTGAAGAGCATTGACATAACCAATTGCTGGTAATCGTGCATATCCGTCGACAAGTAATATACAAATTTAATACAATTTTACAATAATAATATTAATTATAAAGTGACAGAAACAACTGAAATTTAAGAAAAATATATTAATTATAAAACATATTAAAAGAATAAAGTAAAAAAGATAATAGCTTAGGTCGCACAACATATATACATTGTAGATATTTTAATAACAATTTCTCAGATGAAAGGATTTCTAATTACCGTAATTACCTTTTAATTTAATCGTGTCCTTTTGCGGCATCCGAGATCAGCGAAATTGTACCAAGCTGGAGTTCGAAAAGAAAAAGAGAAAAAAAAGAAAAAAGAATCAGTGTCTTCGGCAAGTCGAGCCCTCTGACGGCGAGACAAATCCGCACAGACGTCGCCAGTGGTCGCCAGCGAGTCTGAATCACGATGCTTCGAACAGGTTCTTCATGAGATCTGAATGGCGGCGGTGAACAGCGGTTGGCTCGACCTTCCACTTGGGTTCTCGAGGGAATTTTTACTTTTCGGCTGAAACAGAAGGAAAAAAAGAGAGAGAGAAAGAGAGAGTGATGGAGCAGCTGCTGTTGAAGTTGCTGGTGCCCGACAATGCCACGATACAGGAGGTTGGTGAATTCCCAAATACCGTCATTTTGCTTTTGCTGTTGAACGGGCAGCCTGTTGAAAGTACCTTGCAAACACGTGTTTTCGTTCGGTTCCGTCAGATCATTTTTGCCGGAGAACCGCGCGATCGCCTACAAAGTTACGTGTTATGGAGATATCGAGTTCTTCTCGATCCGCCCGTTTACGGTGTAATTTACAATTTGCTCGTCTCTTGTTTTGACTGTCCATTATTATTGTTGCAATCGGCCGACAATTCTGCGACTTGTCTTGAAATGATTCTGCATATAGACGCCTCTAATTTCAGGCTACTGCAGAGCTCAAAAAAGCTCTGCAGAATCCAGACAGTGTGCCAGCTTTGTGCCAACTTATCATGACATCGACGAATCCACAGGTTTGTGATTTCTTCATAGAGTTAAGTTGCTTGTGTAATGGTATACTTTTTGTTTCTTGAATAAATATATGAGATGAATTATTTTAGATAAGGCAGTATGCGGCTCTCGTTCTTAGGAGACGTTATTCTAAAGGAAAGAACTGGACAAAGTTATCTGTACCTATACGAACTGAATTTAAGAAAATTATTTTACAAGTAAGATGCTTTTACAATTTTGTATGGCATCAATGCTTAGGTCATCTCTTTATACTGTCATTGGATTTACTTTGTTTTGTTTATATTATTTTCAGACATATTCTTCAATTATATGCTATATAATCTAATCATGTTTACTTATTTCTTATGTCAAAATGTAAAAGTAAGCTTGCACTCAGTTCTAAAAATTCTTAGAATTTAATTAGGCTTTACGATCAAAAATGTTTCTTTGAATTTATGGAAAAAAGAATATATTTATATCAAAGATGTAACTTGGAGATTTAGTTTTTGGTTATTTTAATATTATTTCATCTTATTCATTAACTTTTTTCAGGCCTTAGAACGTGAATCAGTAACTTTTGTTAGAAATAGTATAGCTCAATTAATAGGTGTCATTGTTAAACATGAATTACCTACAAATAGTTGGCCAGAAATTATACATTATGTGCAACAATTAATTGTTAATGAAGGAATGGAGAATAAAGAAGTAAGTAAAAAACTGAATGTCAACTTTACTTTCTTTTTTAAAGTGATGTGAAAACATGTTTAATGTCATTGATGTAACTACACTATGACATAGCTAAAAATACAATTATTTAATTCAATTGGTGTATTTAATGATTGGTGTATTTAATATTTGACACTTTAGCCATTATTTTATGATATGAAACATTTTATTCTAGCTAGGCCTTTATACTTTAGCAATTATGACAGACATTACGCCGGACGCCTATGCTTCACATGCCAGATCTTTGGTGATGTTGCTTGCTCAAACATTGAGCAGTCTTCAAAACTTAGGAAATCCTGCCGCTTTTTACATTTTGAGCACACTACGACATCTCATTCCTGTAGCTAAACACGACGATACAGTTCGTATCATACACTATATTTTATGTCAAATTTTGTATACACATATGTACTTATTAATTTATTTGAATTGATATATTATTATATGTATGTATAATTTACCGTCTCACTTTTGTTCGAAATTTTAAATATGAATCATTATTTTATAAATGTCATTACAGGCGGTAAATACTTATACCAGAATGATGCCGCTCATAATGAACACAATTCAAGCTCTCACGGAAGCCTCTCACGACACTTTAGCCAATCAAAGTTTTGAATTGTTGGACGAATTATGCGAGAATATGATTGTTGTAATAACGCCCCATGTCAAACCTCTTGTCCACATGTGCCTTACAATCATCGCTAAAAAGTCTATAGACGATCTCTTAAAAGTTAGAGTGGTTACTTTTATCGGATGGCTAGCGAGGATAAAAAAAAGGCTCTTGTAAAACACAAATTGGTAGAACCCATCGTTGGTGAGCAATTTTAATGTTTCAACAATTAGAGCGCATTAGTAGAAAGACTCAACTGTTTTTTTAAATTTATTTGCAGACATGTTATTCGTAGTCATGATGATTCGACCAGACGAGGATGATGATTCAAATACAGAGAATGAAAATTCTATTTTAACGAGCGCTACTCAAACTTTAGACTTGCTGGCAATGCATTTACCGCCTGAGAAATTAATTCCACATTTGGTAAGCTCCAAAATAATATATTGATAATATTAAAAATTTAATTTTATTTTCTGTAATGAGTTTTTTATATGAGTTTTTATGAGTTTCTTATTTCGTAATATAAACTATTATTGCAAAAAATTTCTGTTTTAAAATTATATCATATAATCATATACTTTGATACAATAGCGCTTTATTGATCCGTATTGTACATTATAAATGTTTTGTTGTTCTGTGTTTATTATTTTTTTGAGATTAAACTGAAGAAACTATTCTGTAATACATTAATGTTACAGTTACGACATATTGAACCTGGACTCCAAAGTACGGATGTATATGTTAAGAAGACATCATACGTTGCTATAGCCGTGTTAGCGGAAGGTTGCGCCGAATATATTCGTTCAAACTACCTCGAATTCTTCTTGCGATGCATCTGTCAAGGAATCACCGATTCTTCGTCCATCGTACGTAACGCTGCACTTTACGCTTTAGGACAATATTCTGAGCACCTACAACCAGAGATTTCACAATACTCGTCCGAACTACTGCCGGTGTTGTTCGAGTATCTTGGCCAGGTATGCTCGTACATTAAACAAGAGAAGAAGGAACCGCACGCAGTTGGTCGTATGTTCTACGCTCTTGAGATGTTCTGTGAGAATTTGCACGGGAGGATCCTGCCGTACCTGCCCAAATTGATGGAAAGGTTGTTTGATATCTTGAATGCAGACACATCACCGCACGTGAAAGAGCTTACGTTGAGCGCCATAGGCGCTGCGGCTTGTGCCAGTAAAGAGCATTTGCTTCCTTATTTTGAAACGATCATTAACATTCTTAACAATTATCTCACTACAGAGCCAAACGAGGAAAACATGTGTCTTAAAGTTCAAGCGATTGGTTAGTAAAGAAAACTGATTAATTTACTATTGTTTTACATAATGAAGTTACAATCCTATTTAATATATATTTAATATATATTTTAGATACCCTCGGTGTGATCGCTAGATCGATAGGTAACGAGCACTTTGCGCCATTGGCAGCCACATCCCTCGATCTCGGAATAAAATTGTTGAGAAATACGGATGATCCAGATCTACGGAAATCTCTTTACGGATTGTTCGCCGCTATTAGCACAATTATGAAAAAAGACATGGCTGCGACTTTGCCCGAAATTGTCGAGTACATGATAATGAGTATACGAAGTGCAGATGGGATCTTGGTAATCATTACGTGAATTATGAAAATCGAGGAAACAACGGAAGTGACGTAAATATAATGTCGTATTACAGATGCACTATAAGGACGACGAGGCTAACGCTCTTACAGTTTACGACGATCTCAGCGATACCGAAAATGAACAAGAAGAAGAAGAAGAAGACATTGAGTACACTGATAACGAAGAAGAGAATGACGAAGACATTGAAGGCTACAGTGTTGAAAATGCCTATATGGAAGAAAAAGAAGAAAGTGTATTAGCGCTGAAGGAAATCGCCGAATACACAGAGTAAGTCATTTTTTTATGTTAACCGATAACTGAATTAATTATATTTTATGTTAATGAAAATATTACATTACAGGGAGGCATTCATGCCGTATCTTGAAAGATCTTTCGAGGAGATTTTTAAGTTGATCAATTATCCTCAGGAGGATATACGTAAAGCGAGTATAGAGGCTCTATTACAGTTCTGTATTAATCTCTCGAAAATTAATACCGATGAAGGTAAAAAGGCATTGTTGAAGGCTCTCTCTATGTTTGTCCCGAAATTATCCGAACTGATAAGATTAGATGAAGAACCGACGGTCGCTATTTGCGGCTTGGAGGCATATGAGGAACTTTTGATGGAAGTCAAATCGGATGTTCTTATCGGTATAGGTCACAGAGAAGCTATTGTAAATTGCGTGATGGATGTGATGAAAGGTATTTGTGATATATATTTCATTCATGTTCGGTGTAATGATAAATCAGTGCGAATAATACGGAATTTTTATCAAAGGCAAGACTGCGTGTCAAGATCAAGAGGAAGTCGAAGACGTCGACACCGAAGCGGAACAAGACGAGTTATTAATAGAATGCGCGGGAACTGTATTTTCTAGTTTAGGAAAAACACTGTCACCAGAAGATTTTGCGCTACACTTTCTAACCATGTTGCCTTTCTTTATAAAAAGATTGGTATGACCGAATTTCGTATTTGTATTTGTCTGTAAAATCGCGATTTTAATTTTAGCTTAACCAATTCCTTACAGAAAATGGACCATTCCGAGGCACAAAGGTCCTTCGCTGTTGGAACGATAGCTGAGTGCTTCCCTGGACTTAAACACATGTCGGCTGCGTTTGTCTCGCAATTGCTTCCGACTTTTCTACAAACTGGAACTCAAGATCCTTGCAATGAAGTTCGTAGCAATTGTTTCTTCGGAATTGGAGAACTTGCTTTCTACGCGAAAGAAGCAGTTTATCCGTATCCTTTTCCGCTATTTCCACTATTTATATAGAGCGTACATTGTTTTCAAATTTAGTAATTACTATTTAGTAATATTTTATGTTTTGATTAAAATAAATTAAATTGCGTTGGAAAATATTTTAAAATTAAATATATCGGAAAATTATTTTAAAATTTTTATGACTAAATCACGAAAAATTAGTTAATTATATAAAATATTTTACAGAATTTAATCTTACATATCAGACACGCAATTCTAAATTTTTTAAATAATTATTACGTAGCAGATTTTTATGAAAGTAATTACATAAATAGAATTTCTCTGGCATTTTTATCACTGATATTTCTTGAAGTTCCTTAAAAATTTTTACACAGACATTATCCTCAAATTCTGCAAACTTTGTCGTGTGCCATTGCAAAAGAAACCGATGCAGCTGCACGTGATAACGTAGTCGGGGCGATTGCGCGACTTATTATCACGAATTATTCGAATTTGCCACTTGAACAAGTATTTCCAGTTTTTGTTGAACAATTACCATTGAAAGCAGACTTCCAGGAGCATAAAGCTGTGTTCAAAAGTATTCTTACGTTATATCAAGCCGGGGTTACTCTTCTACAGTCTTACATTCATACATTATTGAAAGTCGCAGTTGTCATATTACACGAGGAAAAGACTGCTGACGACGGTGAGTATTTAATAATAATGTTTGAAAGTCACTTTAAACAAATTTTTTTAAACTTGAAACGTTTTTTTGTCTTTTTCAATTTATTTGCATTTTTAAATAAATTCCACGAAAGATGTCAGTAATTTATTTGCAGTTTAAAGAAATAGCATATCTTTTTTTCTTATTTAGCATCAAATATTTTGCAACTTAACTTTTATAAAGAATTACATAAAGATAATATCAACTAGTCGATATCTCTTTGCTGAATTAGGAATATATCTTTCCTGTTTGCAGAAACACGAAATCTTGTCATGGAATTTATTAAGTCTGTTCAGCGAGATTTTGTGAACGACTGGAATGCCCTTTTCACCGAGCTGCCTCCAGAAGTTGTCGCGAACATTCAGCGTATATTTTCCTAATCTAAACGATTAGTGCACATCATGCATGTTATTTAATCGTTTTTGAACATTCTTCAAAACTTTGTTCAAATATTACTTCTCAAAGAATTTTTATAGTACCTTCTCCATCATCGTTTCTGCTCCACAATTTGATTGCGAGACAATGTTGAATAGGCTAATATTGAGGTGAGAATAAACAATTGCAATCGATTGAATACATTTTCCATCAGCTTAATAGACGAATACTCATCCCTATTTTTTACTTTTCTGTTCATTCACTGACTCATTGTATGCGATATAGGTTTATAAACCGCCCATTCGTGACGCTTTATTTAATAAATAAATAATTTATATTATCTTATGTTTAATTAAGCAATCTGTTTACTGTATGACGCATACATCGAGAAACAATTCTTCCTTTACTCTGACTATAAATAGATAGACTAACGTTGTATAGTAAATCAAGAAAGAAGAGAAAAGTCTAGGGAGAAGAAATTGTAGAATGACTGTTTCATAGAATCTTACAATTCCCCCTCGTGTCGTTAGATTTTTTTCAGACTTTCGCTCACGGAATTATATTCGGTCTGTGTAGATTTGTGAATTCTTTAACAGTGAGCGTATAAGCAAAAAGTCGCTTGGTTGACATACAGAAGTGTAAATTAACATTTAACAGGAATTACAGGCAAAACTCTGCCTCTAGTATAGGCATCGATGCTATTGTTATCAAGGAATAAAATTGATAGCTCATCTTGTCCCTCTGTCTGCAACCAACAACAATCTAGCATACCATAGTATAAATATTGAAAATAAATGTATGTGACTAATAAAAATGGTCGTGTTCTTTTTATAAGCTCTTGTAAATTTTTGTTGCAATATTCTCTTTCGTTATTTCTTATTTAATAAAAGAACCACTGTTAAATCTTACTTGTTTATCAAATAAAAAAATAATATAAACAGTAATTGTTGATGCTACAGTATGTGAAACCTGAGTATTATGTTCACGTTATCATATTAAATCTAATAAATTACTTCATATCTTCAATACACTTTTATTTCTTTCTAATTTTTATAAAATTTATCGGGCATGCATTTGAATAGTATCATGAAGAAATTACAATTAGTATATCTTATAGTATATCTTAGTATAGTATATCTTAGTATATCTTTGTCATTCATACATCGCCGTAGTAGTTTTGCGAGAAGAGTCCAGTTTACGTAAAAACTCTATCTTGAAATTGAGATGCAATTCAACGCAACGTACACGAAAGAAAGAAGAATTAAAAATTCTTAATGAATATCAGGATATCATCGTGCGCTTAACTGATATCAGACGAGATGCTATCGTCGTTTTATCAAAAGGCAGCGAAGATAAGTCTACGGCTGACCGACCTTTCAAAGATCTCGTATCAAACGTAGCTCAATCATGACTCTTGGAGCAACGTGTTCACGTAAAGGCGAGTGATACGGTTTACGCTTTTTTGCGATTCATCACGGAGTTTGTCGCCGGTGTGTCAAATCGTTAAGAACAAGTCAACTTTACGTGCTGCATCTCTCTCTCTCTCTCTCTCTCTCTCTTGCGCGTTGTGTACATTGCGTCCAACAAACGTGATTGATCGGATAATAGCGGTAAGTAAATTACTTTTCCATAAGCGCGATAAAGTGACAGTAGTTGAGATTTCTTGTACTTTTTGCAGACTGATAAGACTTCGAATGAATACCGACATTGGAGCGACAAATGTTTCACTGAAAGTTGTCATTGTTTCATTGAGCCTTATTCGAGCACGCGACACGAAACACAAAATTGAGAGTGCAACTCACCGTCGAGTTAAAAATCGCATGCGGGCTGCTCTAGAAAAGATGCGTGCGCGTGTGTGTCCTCTTTTTTTTTTACGTGCGCGAACGTCTGAAATTAATCGAAGAAAAAACGAAGTCGTCGACTCCTCGTCGTCTCCTATACGCCGTATCGATTTTTGAATGAGTCAAATTACCGCGCAGATACCATTTTTTAAATAATTTGATAAAATTTTACATTACAATACACACATTACAAGCTTTTCGCGACGTTAAATGCAGGGAATACCTCTTTCATCATCACGCCTTAAAGCCTGAAACCGATCGTTAATTATTGTCACCGCCATGCGTGCAACAGCACTCACGATGACACAGTCAGGCTCCTCGAGTTAACACCAGATAATCGAGGTCAGGGCGTAACTTCTTTCTGCATGAAAAATCGCACGGCTGTGAAAATTGACATCAGACGTAAAAACATCTGGTAGCGTCTGCCGACAAATCTCTTCGCTGTAGCAAATCATCACAAACATTGCGCTCCTCAAATCCGTATCGTTTCAAGATTTATTAGTCGATATTATAAAAGCGATATTCATATTTACAAAAGAACATGACCTAAGACGGCCAAATCATTCTGTTTTCGGTGTGAAAAATTGTTTTGCAAATTGCTTTTTATCGTTTTTCAGTACCTTCACTTTCTTATCCGTCATATCACTAAAATGATGGATAAAAAAGTTATTTTAGAAATAATTTTCCTATAAATTTAGCGAATCTGAGATCGTTGAAAATTTCATTTAATTATACCTCATTGCATGAGGTGTACAATGGGTATAGATTGTTCTCGAATATACGAAAAAAATAAAAACAAAATTATTTAATTGAATATTCGGTATATCGGAACAAACGGCTCTTACAGTATCGATCGATCATGATAATGTTATATGTATTAGGATCACGAGATTATAATCGCACGCGCCGCTAATGATATCTAGATCGCGGACGGATTTCCGCGATTCGATCCGGCCGGGGTCGACCTTCCTGATCGAGACGGCGCGGCGGAAGTCGTAAAAATGCGCCATTGAGATTCGAGCTCGGAGTCCAGGGCTCTCGACGGAGAGTGCATAATATTGCCCGCGTACGTGTGGAGACGCGCGATGTCGGCGCGAGGCAGGCCTTGAGGACCTCCACCATGACTCGAATCGAAAAGGAGCCGTGGGTGTACGACCCATGTCGCGTCGCTCGTCGTCACACCTGCCTGAGCATCGTGGTGATATCGGATGGTTCAGTGAAATCCCGAGCCTGCCTCTGATTTCTCGCGGGAAAAACGTCGACGAGTCTCGTGCGCGGCCGCGAAACGTAAAGCGTTAAAAAAGAGGCGTAACGTTCGTTAAAGAAGAAAAAGAAAAAAAAAAAAAGAAAAAGAAAGGGATGCGTGCGCGAAAAGTTCGCCACGCGAAAATTTGTCCAAATTGTGATCTGAACTTTCACCCCTGGAAGTGGAGGAGGTCAGGTGTCGAGGATCAGGTGGGTATCGAGGAGAAGCGTAGCTTCGAATCGCGATGCGGTCGTCGATTTAATTTTAATTTTAACGAGTCTCCCCCACCTCGAATCGAAAGTCGATTTTTCCTTTGTGCAAGTAACAAAGACGATTGTCATTTTTCGTGACACCACCTCGACCTCTGGTATTTTATATCCATTCGATCATCTCGATTCATTCCGTTTTGATTTATTCGACGATGAAACGAAACGATGATCAGATGAAAGTAAGTCCTCGGCTTTATTTGTATTCCTCGTAAAAGTAATTAGCCAAGTTTCCCTACGCACAGATACTTATCAGATACTTTATCGTGCATTAATCATCTCGATAGCAAGCGAGTGTACGCAGTCATTAATTCGGCAAACCTTTCAATGATCGATCGAAATAAATCAAAATAAGATGCCTGCAGACCAACAACAAATATTAACTCCGGATTCCTCTCGGCTGAATCACCCGTCGCGATAACTAACTGATAATTAATATTCATTCCTATCGAAACGGCCCAACTCCGTCAACACCGTCCTTTCCCGAAGAGGCATCGGTCGCTCGCTGATCGTTTGGATCGTCCGATTTGGCGGGAACCAAACGATCCGGAAGGACCAAACGGCGGGAAATGCAATTAGCAGAGCTTGAAAAGTTATCGTCGAAGCTCACGTGCGAGGCGTGATTGCCAAAATTCAATTGTACACCAGGTACGTGAAACCAGGTCTCATTACTCGCATCCGATTTCTGTCTGGTTCTCCATTGTTATTTCTGCTTCAGCAATGGAATCCGCAATTACGGTTTGCTAAATTCAATCCGATAAAGATTACCCAAGTCCGAGAAATACGCAGCTGTGTTAATATTTGTTATCATCGCTCTATTATTACCGCTCATAACGTCTAAGCTATCATGATAGGTAACCGTAAAGTCTTCCGTGCGATCGTCGTCGAAGATCCCTTCTGCGTCGCGCAAGGCAGTTCATTATGGTTATTTATGGTGTTCTTTATTCTAAAAGAAAATCCTTTATTTCAATTGTCCTTTAGATTTGTTTGCTTTCTTTAAAATTTAACTTTATCCTTTATTTTAATCTTTCGTTTCTTATTTGTTCATCATTTTACTTTTTTCCGTCTCGCGTTAATTGGATTTTTAATTTCTTAAATTAAAATGATTTTGATTAGATTCGTTTTTATTTTTCATTATTTCCTCGAACCTCCTATTTCAAATTTAAATCGAAAGTTTGTTCCAACACAATCAAATTAATTTCAACCTGTCAAAAATTATGTAGTATTTTATTTTATGTGTGGTATACTACGCAAAAAAATGTCATAGTGCACAGATTTCTGACAGCTATAAACCGATATGTAAACCGATTTGGAAACATATAAGAACAAAGATATAAAATTTTCAGATGTTCATTCTTTGTTTTCCTCGAAGAAAATATGGTCACCGTATACGTGATGCATCGACCGTGAATGCACGTCGGAGAAAGTACGAGGACAATGAGAACAATCGCAGTGACCAGCGAAAAATCGTTCCAACCTCGATGATATAACACAGAAATGGAAAGATTTCTTTCCGACCTCTTCGTAGATTTCACTTTCCGCGTCTGATCACGGTTTGTTGGCCATCGCGCATTATCATGTAATGTATACAAAATTATGTAATTCGATTAGTCTCCTCGAGTTTTTCCAGAAATTCGATAGCGTAGTCGTCTCTATTTTTCCGTTACTACAAATAAATATATAGTTTAATATCTAATGGCCGGCAGAACGAAAACTCTAAAAAACCAAGTGTTATCGGGTTGTAAAAAATATCTAAGTCTAATTTCTTGAGCAATTTGGATTATCTCTTGGAACTTGAATAGAAATGCAAAAATAGACGCAGGAGAGCTACTTTAAAGTGTCGAGCAACCCGTTCGATAACTCAATTGTGATTACCGGGGAGAGAATGTGCAATCAAAAATAATGTTGTTTGCAGAAAAAGTGCATTTAAAATTACGCCTGACAGAATATTACTGCCATTAATGATTATAGTAGAAGCTATATTTATAGACATTTTATACGATAAAGAGAGACATTTAATTACACAAAATATACAAAATTCAATAGAGCTTTTATAGAGGTGCAATTATTCTCGATCTATGTAACAAAGATTTTAAACATTTGCATTTTTCTAAAATTCACTTCATGTCTTTTCTCCAGCGATCGATCGCTACTTCCGGGGCGGTTTCTCCGATACCAAACATAAGCTTGACAGTCGTTTTTTCAGCAAAATTTGAAGCGAATTTGTAGACGCAGGGAGGATCGATTGCACGACTTTGAGACGGTCACGACTAAATGCAAGACTTCGAATGGCGAAAACTTTCGGCAGGGATCCTGCGGGATTTCTCATTTATTTATTTCAATCGAAAAGGGACAATTGAAGCGCGCGTATATGTAAATATCTCGATATTTTTCAATATCCTCCAGCGAGAAATGTGAATCTCTGGAATGCCAGCGAGCGGCGGATGTTTCTGACTGCGTTATTGTCGAGTTATTTGTTGGTGTTTCTTCTTTCCGGTGTCTAACGCGAGTTCTTCGGAAAGAACTGTTTCCAGAAATATCATTTCGCTCGCTTGTCTCAAGAAAAGAAGGCTTTTCCGACTAGCCGACTAACCGATCGAGGCCGATCTTCCTCTATTTGTCTCGTTTTATCACCCACGATCGATGCCATACTGTGCATCAGGCAGATTTCGCGGGTAATAAAAAAAAATCAGGAGCGCTACATTTTAATTAACGTGAACGCAAGTGAGGGAGAAGAGAAGAAAAGAGAAAGAAAAAAAGAGAGAGAGAGAGAGAGAGCGGAGAGGGATAAAGTTGCAGGGAGAACCCATTTCGAGTGGCCCATTTCTCTTATCACGATAAGCCTGGGCTTGGCTCGACGTGACTATCACGGAAACCCGGCGTTCGGGGTGATTCACTTTTCGATTGCAATTCATCGCGATCGGTCTCCAGTCGCGGATCCACCGTCGCGATGAGTACGACAGCCGCGAGCTCGCTGCCGCCGCCATTGTCGTCGTGTCATGACCGTCATCGACATGGATGATCTGAAGCCGGCCAGCAACGAGACCAGGATGGACGTGGAATTGGTGACCCGTGCGTCATTGAGTTCGCTGCAGAAGGTGGACGACGGTCGTATCGTCTCCCCGAACAGCTTCGAGGAGTGGACGTTGTCTAGGCTGAAGGTAAGTGATTATCGATTAATTAGAAACCATCTGTCCTCGCGAATGTTTGGAAAGTCTCGATCGAAATTAACCACTTCCAACTTAGCCTTGACTCCCTCACTCTCGGACTATATAGCGTGTTGCGTTCAGCGGTTTTATTATTCTTGTACCTCTTTATTATTTTGCTTTTCAAAGTTTTATACGCTCTTTCTTCTGGATCTGGATCTTCGAACTCGAATTCCGAAATAAAAATTCACTTAGCTTTTAAAGCCTCGCAAATCTCGTATTCTTCAAATTAATGAGCTTTATAAGGACATACATTTTAAAATGCAATTAAATTGTCAGCTATGTTCAGATTCTCTTGCGATCGTCTCGAACGTTCTTGACCGTCTACTTTTTTCAAGATTGGAAAAGAAATTCAGAAAACTTTTAAAGCAAATATCATTCGTAGAGAATCATATATATATATATATATATATATATATATATATATATATATATATTGGTTTTTGAATTTAAATGTCATATTGAAGTCAATGAAGCATGTAAAACAGAAACTCGTGGCTTGAGTTTTTTTGCATCAACGTCAATGGAGCAAGTAGTAATCGTAATAAATTATGCGAATCTCGATTTTCGCCAGCCGTTCAGAACATCGATAATACTCTCAGACGATTTGCTATTTGAAAAACAAGATTGCGAAGAAGAATTTTTAGCGCGAGAGTTGTGCTATCAGAAGGGAATGACTCGCCGAGAGGAAATGAGAAAGAACGTTGATTCTTCAAAGGTGCAGCTTATCGAGCCGCGATCGATTTATCTGGACGGTCGGAGGATGTTCGCCGTTTGCGTGTCGCTTATTTTCTACCGTGACATATGCGACTACACATTAATTACCGCATTATCTGCGTACGGGTATCGGAGCTTGATAAAGTTTGCTGAAAAAAACCTGCGTGTCCTTCGTTTCTTTCGGCTCGACGTCGACACGCGAAGTCGCTCGTTATTTCGCCACGGGTCTATCACCGGGAAATCCAGTTGGAATTTTCTATTAACAAGACGCTTCTACTCCAATACATTCCAAGATCCTTCGACGACGATTACAAATCATGATGCGATGCTGCGGAGACATTCCAGAAATGTGGAATTGCGAGATCCCGATGAAATTGCACCGAGTTATTACAGTTTCAAAAACGTCGCACAAAAATAAGTCCGCATATAAATAATTCAAGACAATATTTAATTATAAATATTATTATTTCTCTTTTTATAAATCAAGTGGTCAAGTCGTTAATAAATCAATACTCCACCGCCGCCAATTTGAAATGTCTTTGAGTCGAAAGGGGTGAAGGATGAAAAAAACGAGAAGCATGATGGATAACATTGAGAGGTACGAAAGACAAGAAAGAGAGGAGGGGTTGGAGGAGGGAAGGGGGAGGGAGGGACAGGCGCAAGGGAGACCTGCTGCGCGAATTCGGGATTGAAGATCAATATTCAGCGAGACGAAAGAGAGGGAGAGAGAGAGAGAGAGAGAGAGAGAGGAGGAGAGAGAGAGAGAGAGT